CACCTTGTTGTCTCAGATTCTCCAGCATCTGCAGTTCCTACTATCTCTGATCAAATTAATTCAGGGTTGGTTGAAGATCTGGTGCACATGTCTTGGGACGATTCTGTTGTTTTCTTTCATTCTGTGCTGCAATCCCTCCAAAAGGTAGAACCTTATTGAAGAATTCATTTCTGAGCCCTCTGTTGATCCCTCCGTGCTGGGATGGTCAAGAGGAGCAGCAATAAACGAGAACAAAGCATTAAGCACAATCAGACATTCAGCTCATCTTTTACCAGGCACAACAGCTTCTTTTCCAGTTGAAGAGCCAGATCTGGGATGAATTTCCCTCCCATGATGCTGATCATTTCGGAGACGGTGTAAAGTTCAGGATATTTTTTCACACATTCGTTCTGTGCAATGACAATCTCCTGTAAATAAAGTGCAAGGGTCAATTTTAGCTACGCAGTCTGTCAATTACACAGACACCGCACACCACAAACATGCTTGGCTTCCATATGGACACACACCAGCATATAACAACAGGAGGTGATAGCCTAGTGGTATTGTCGCTGGAGTCTTAATCCAGCGACATAGCTAATGTTCTGGGTTCCCGGATTCGAATTTGAATTCAATTAAAAAAAATCCAGAATTGAGAGACTAATGCTGACCACGAAACCATTGTTGATTGTCAAAAACCCATCTGGTTCACTAATGCCCTTTAGGGAAGGAAACTGCCATCCTTACCCGGTCTGCCTACATGACACACAGCAATGTGGTTGACCCTTAATTGCCCAGAGGGCAGTTAGGGGTGGACAATAAATGCTCCCCTGGCCAGCTACACTCTCATCCCATGAACAAATTTAAAAGAATCATTACATTGTCTTACATTCAAGTGTAATTTGACAACCTCTGAGTTGGAAGTGATCACATTTGTCTAAAGTACCTGTTATACTTGCAACAAGCCCTGTGACCGATCTTTTCAACTTTAAAGGTGTCACTGATCTGCCTGTCACATAACATTAGGACTTACTTAGTTCTGTAAATGAGCGACACTGATAAGAAGGAAGTTCCTGTTAAACCTTTATAATTCACTGGTTAGAGCTCAAATGGGGAACTTTGTTCAATAGATATAGCAGGAACTGTAGATGCTGGAGAATCTGGGATAACAAGGCTGTTCAATGCTGGGACGCCACACTTTAGGAAAGATGTAATGAAACAGGAAGGAGTGCAGAGGACATTTACTGGAATAGTACCAAGGATAAGATTTATACGAAGACATAAGGGAAATTTGGGATCGTTTCCTTGGTGATGCTAAGTAAGAGAGATTAAATCTCTGAGAAATTCTGATTGAGCAATAACTCGTTCCTCTTCAAAAAAATGCATCAGCACTAAAAGTCATTAGTTTAAAACAAGTGTCTAATACCAGAGGGCATGCTTTTAAAGGTGAGAGGAGGAAAGTTCAAAGAAGATGTGAGGGGCAAGTTTTTTTTTTACATGGAGAGTAGTAGGTGCCTCGAAAGTGCTGCCAGGGTAATGGTGGAGGCAGATAATGATAGGGGCTTTTAGTTAAGTACATGAATAAGCAAGGAATAAAAGGATATGGATCAAGGGCAGACAGAAGGGATTAGTTTAATTTGGCATCGTGTTTGGCACCAATTGGGGACCGAAGGGCTGTACTGTTCTATGTTCTAAGCAAAAAAATACTAGAAGGAAGAAAGGTGATATTTCTCCATAGAGAAGGGTGTTAAGATCTGGAACACATCTCCTGAAAAGATGGTGGAGCCAGATTCGACACCAACTTTCAAAAGGCAACTGAACACACATTCAAGGATTAATTTGTAAGGTTATGGGTAGAAAGTGAGGATATGGAATTAATTAGCCTCCTTTTATTCAATAACCTCAGCTGGTGCCGTTGATGTTTGTTTAACAGAGCACACGGAGCTAGAAACTAACACTTTAGGGTGACTTTTAAATCCAAAAACAAGTGGGCTCCGGTTGCTAAAGTGCTAAAAATGTTTAAACTTCAAACTCAATCTCAACCTACATTCTGCCTCCCCACCTCTGGCTTTAACAGAAGCAGGACAAGGGGTGAGAAACTGCTGGGTCACTGAATATATTCAATGGTAAATTTGAGATCAATGAGGGAGTACATTGTCAATGTAGATAACAGACATGAGAAAGAAGTTACTGCCACAACCATAGAGTCATACAGCACAGAAACAGACCCTTCGGTCCAACTCGTCCATGTCGACTAGACATCTTAAATTAATCTAGTCCCATTTGCCAGAATTTGGCCCATATCCCTCTAAACCCTTCCTATTCATGTGCCCATCCAAATTCCTTTTAAATGTTGTAATTGTATCAACGTCCATCACTTCCTCTGGTAGCTCATTCGAAACATAAACCACGCTCTGTGTGAAAACATTACCACTCAGGCCCTTTTTAAATCTTTCCCCTCTCAACTTAAACCTACGCCCTCTAGTTTTGGACTTCCCCACCCTATAAAAAGGACCTTGACTATTCACTCTATCCATGACTCTCATGATTTTATAAACCTCGAAAAGGTCACTACCCAGCCTCCGACGCTCCAGGGAAAAAAGCCCTAGCCTATTCAGCCTCGCCCTTTCACTCAAACTCTCCAGTCCCTGCAAATCTTTTCCGCACGCTCTCAAGTTTAACAACGTTTCCTTATAGAAGGGCAACCAGAATTGTACGCAGTCTTCTAAAAGTGGCCTCACCACTGTCCTGTACAGTCGCAACATGAAGTCCCAACTCCTATACTCAATGTTCTAACCAATGAAGACAAGCGTATCAAACACCTTTTTTCACCACCCTCTCTACCTGCAACTACACTTGCAAGAACCTGCACCCCTGGGATGAATGGGACTCAGGACATAAACAAGAATAATTTTTTTCTAGTTTATGCTGAAGGAGGAGGAACATTACAATAAAACCAAAGGTCTATCTTCTACTGAGTTCATTCTGGGTGGGGAAGTCCGGCCCAGTGTCACATCCTATTCTCTGTGGGATATTCTGGCTGCTCCAGCTGGTCTGAATGACCACGTGCAGGAAGTACTTCTGGCCAGAACAGCTCCAGCTTTCGGAGAGTGAACTTTAGCGAGGGCCGCTGCAATGCATTCACGAGGTTGACAGCATTGTGGATTGTACATTTCAGGACAGGGCCACTCTGCAGCTTCACAAACTGCAAGCAGAGAGGGAGAGGGTGACCATCAGAGAAAAGAGGTGAAGACAGGTACTGACAGAAAACCGCCAAATGCATCTCCGTTCCCCATTCAGGTCATCTCAAGGGCATCTCACTTGCTTGCAAACCATTTTCTGGCTTTGGAAACCAGTGAAAGTGACAGTCCCTCATTGGAGGCCAGGCCCAGCCAAGGCCAAAGGGTGGGTGACCCAGCTGCGCTGGCAGGGCAACAGTGCTAGGGATTTCTTAATTATTGAAGCAGACAGGTGTTTCTTCAGCTGTAGATCCTGCTGAATACAGACTTGGATGCTTGCTGTAGGGCAGCACAGTGGCTCAGTGGTTAGCACTGCTGCCTCACAGTGCCAGGGACCCGGGTTTGATTCCACCCTCGGCTGACTGTCTGTGTGGGTTTCCTCCGGGTGCTCCGGTTTCCTCCCATAGTCCAAAGATGTGCAGATTAGGTAAACTGGCCATGGGAAACATAGGGTTACAGGGATAGGGTGGGGGCAGAATGGGTGTTGGTGGGATGCTCGTTGTATGGTTGGTGTGGACTTGACGGCCTGTGTTCACACTGTAGGGATTCTACGATGCGACTCCAGTGTGACATGTTGCCTCCCTAGAATGTCACACAAGGGCTGCAGGGTATTCTGAAGAGGAAGGCAAACAGCCAGAGAACATGGTCCTTGTGGGAAACCAATGACACAGGAAGTAAGAGCAACAAGATCCTTCAAGACGACTTTAGGGAGTCAGCAGGGCTTCAAATGCAATAACCTCCAGTTAATCAGTGAGTATTGAAAGGGAAGGATAATGCAGATGAATGTGTGGCAGGAGAAACAGTACAGGACTCCGGATTCTTGAGGCACTGGGGCCATTTCTGGTGACCCGTACAAGTTCGAGGGGTACTAGAACTAAGAGATGATAGTTATTGCTCTGACTGGAGGTGTTTGAGTGGGGTGGAGAGGGTTAATTTGGGAGAATGTTTCCATTTGTGGAAGAATTCAAATGCAGGGATCGTAAAGACAAGATAGTTATGAAGAAATCCAATGGGGTAATGAGGAGGTATTTACTCAGTGGTTAGAATGTGAATCTCCCAACCACAGGAGGTAAAACCCTTTCGAAAGGTAAGTCGGTGAATGAAATCCAGTGACACAACAGCTACTGACGACAGAATTTGCTGACATCAATGTAAGAAACGCCAGATTCAGAGGCTTAGGATTTCTTACAGAAATCCATGCCGCGGTGAATGCAATGTTCACCGGCAACACTTTACAATCCACCTCATCAACTCATTTGCTTTCTATTAGATCGCCAAATGCTGATTCAGTCTTCCTCATTCTTTCAATAGCAATAATCCATCACAAAATAGTGGATTTGTGCTTCTGCTCAAAGTGGGGGAAATCAGAGGACTGGGTTACTTTAACAATGTGTAAGTACCTTAAATCTGGGCCTTTTCGATATCCTGCCATCAAGGTCATTGCTCTCACTGGGGAAAGTTTCCTGGCCATAGATCCCCAACAGCTAATGTGTACATTGAGTGACTGCTGGCTAATTAACAGTGCACATCACAAGTTCGAGTAAACCTTCACCCAGTACCCACACAATTTCTGTTCCGTGAGATTTGGGAATTTTTCTGATATCTTTTTCAAACTTCTGCTTTGTCCCAATAATCCCAAGGAACTGGACATCTCTCAGACTACAAGTATTCCCCATAGTTCAGACCAGGATCATGATTTTGGAGAAGATTCTGTTTCCATGCTGTACAACTCTGTGACTCTATGTAAGCTAGGTCAGACTAGTTAAGGATGGGCAGATTTCCTTCCCCTAAAAGGTTAGGGAAAAGGAATAGTTTCACGGTCATCATTTCATACAGTCAAACAGCACAGAAACAGACTTTTCGGTCCAACTCACCCATGCCAACCATGTTCCCAAACTAAAGTAGTCCCATTTGCCTGCACTTGGCCCATATCCCTCTAAACCTTTCCTATTCATATACTTGTCTGAATCTTTTTTAAATGTTGTAACGGTACCTGTATCTACCCTTTCCCCTGGCAGTTCATTCCACACACGAACCACCCTGTGGATCCAATACATTTCTGGTTCTGCAAACAGCTGGAATCATGTGATCATCTACAACTCTGCTGCCTGTGTCTCACATCTAGTCCTCTTCATCCATCTCCCTGATCTTCACTGACAGACTTTGGCTCCTGGGCAACTATTGTCTCAAATTTAAATTTAATATCCCTGTTATAAACTCCCTCCATGGCCTTGTCCATCCCTATCTCTGTCACATACAATCACACCATCCTCTGAAAGGCCTGGACTCCTATGATGAGCTATCAATTCCAGATTTTATGAATTGATCTTAAATTCCACTAGCTGCCATGGTAGGATTTAAACCCAGGTTATAAAGTAGAAGAGAAAGCAATTACTGCACATTTCAATACAGGAGCAGGTATAGATAGCTCAGTATCTGACAATGCTGTAGCTTTAACAGGTTATTTTGTCCTGGTTTCTTTTAAGAGAGAGATTCAACAAGAGATGATGAGCTGGCTAGTTAACACCACTTGAGTAAACAGCTTGGGAGGCCTTCAGTTTTTGTTTAACAGCCTGAATGGGTGAGGCCAGCTCTGTCAGATTAGGATTTCTGGGTTTTTGGTTTTTCAGTAACATCAGAAGCTATTAGGGGTCTCAACAGAGTTGGAAACTTCAGTAAATGCCTCCTGGCTGCTACTCTCTCCAAACGTTCTCTTGATTCTTTTTCCTCCTGGATTGGAGAACTGCATGTCAGAATCTGTGGCTGAATTTTCCTTTTTTGCCAAGGGGTATGTTTGTGGGATGTTACTAAATTGAAACAGTTAATTAGTAATAGTTACTGTATCTATTATTCTGTTAAGTTTTCCAATAGAGTTGTTATTCTAAATTCCTCTTTCTTTGGTTGGATTTCTAAGTACAGTGTTTAAATAAATTGTGTTTTGCTTAATATCGAGTAGTTTGACCAGTCGCAATTCATCTGGATCAGACTCTTCACATTTGCCTTTAAAATAAGAAAAAAAGTTAGGGTCTAGGCTACCTTCTTAACATATTTTGAGGGGGTCTGGTCTAGTCCATAACAAATATCTCCTAGATTGTTACCTCAGAGTAACGGAGAGCATCAGGACAGATGATATTGTAATCGTCAGCGCATATTCTCGCCACATTCTGCAGATATTTCATAAAGTCTGGCAGTTCCTTCCATACAATATTCTTCAGCTCCTGTAACAGATTCCCACACAATTATAGCATTAAATATTCTTAACTGGAGGCAAATCCAGGGCCTCAGTAAATGACCTCGAGAAGGCAACAAGATTGAAGAAGTAAAAACCGAAAGAACTGCGGATGCTACAAATCAGGAAAAAGGAACCAAGTTGCTGGAAAAGCTCAGCAGGTCTGGTAGCATCTGTGAAGGAAAGAACAGAGTTAACGGTTCGGGTCCGGTGACCCTTCTCAGAACTGATGGTGGCTGGGATAACAAGGTGTAGAACTGGATGAACACAGCAGGCCAAGCAGCATCGGACGAAGCAGTTGTTAAGAGGAGCTGCTTGGCCTGCTGTGTTCATCCAGCTCTACACCTTGTTATCTCAGATTCTCCAGCATCTGCAGTTCCTACATTCTCTGTGGCTGGGATAACGTCAGTTTATATGCAGAAAATAGGGAGGGTGGGTGGGGTAGGGAGTAAATGATAGGGTAGGGAGTAAACGATAGGATAGAGCCCAAAGAGAGAGAAGAACAGTTGGACAGACAAAGGATTTGATAACGATCAGGCTGGGAGGGTGAATGGGAGTTATTAATGATTCACAGGTGGTGTGAAATCGCAGACTATGTGAGCCACTAGTCGTTCCCATTAGCAACTATTCACCCTCCCAGCCAAATCGTTATCAAATCCTTTGTCTGTTCTTCTCTCTCTTTGGGCTCTACCCTATCGTTTACTCCCTACCCCACCCATCCTCCCTATTTTCTGCATATAAACTGACGTTATCCCAGCCACCATCAATTCTGAGGAAGGGTTACTGCACCTGAAACGTTAACTTTGATTTTTTTTTTCTTCACACAAGTTGCTAGACTTGCTGAGCTTTTTCAGCAACATTGAGAACAAAGTAGTTAATACTGAGGACGATGACGATGTAACCAGAGCAGATAAACATGTTGAAAATATTGCCAAAGAAATAGGACAGCAATGGGAAAATACACAGAATTACAGCACGGAAACAGGCCATTTAATCCAATTGGTCCACATCAGTATTTATACTCCATATTAACCTCTGCCCACCCTAAGTTACCACAAATATATAGTCAACGAATTTGTTATGTTCAAAACATAGAATCAAAGATCATGATGATACAAAGTGAGAGGAGAAAGTAAGCAGCAAGGGCGTTGCAAAAGGATGTGGATCAGATGAAGCAGACAGGCAAGCTTATGGTCACGACATACAACATGGGAAAAGTAGAATTATCTTCTTTGGCTGGAAAGGAGAACAGCTAAAGAGTTTTAAATGGGAAAAAACTGGGAAACACAAAATTAACATGCAGGTATGCTAAGTAATTATGAAATGGTATGTTAGCTTTAATTACCAAAAGACTGGAATATAAGAGTGAAGAGGTCTTATTATGATTATACAGAGCCTTGGTGATCTCCTCTTCCAAGGAACTATAAGCTTGAACAAGTGTAGTGAAGGGTCAGTGGACGGCTTTCTGGGATGAGGGGATTGTCCTGGGAAGACAGACTGGATAGAAAGTCCTATCATTTCTGCAATTTATAAAAATGAAATATTGTAAATTACTGAGGGGCTGCACAGGGTAGGTTGTTTCCCCTGGCTGGGGAGTCTGGAATAGTCACAATTACCAAATAAAGGGTCAGTCATTTCAGACTGAGAGCAGAAGGACATTCACTCGGAGATTGCATACCTTTGAAATTCCCTACCCCAGAGGATTGTGGAGGATCAGCGGTCCATTGTGTTCAAGACAGAGTCAATAATGTCATACCATGTGGGAAAGTGGAGCTCAGATTGAAGATCAGTGATGATTTCAAGGCAGAGCAAGTGTGAAGGGTTGAAGCTTGGGGACCCTACAGCCCTCCGGACTCAATGTCGAGTTCAATAATTTTAGGGCCTAAACTCTCCCATGTCCTAGCCCCCTACCCCACACACCAGGCCTTGTTATCACACAGTCTGCCATTACACACTATCTATTGTTAGTCACTAACAGTCCCCATTAACAACTACTCACCCTCCCAGCCAGATTGTTATCAACTCCTTTGTCTATTCAACTGCTCTTCTCTCTCTTTGGGCTCTATCCTATCATTTACTCCCTACTATCAGTTCTGAGGAAGGGTCACCGGACCCAAAAAGTTAGCTCTGATTTTCTCTTCACAGATGCTGCCAGACCTGCTGAACTTTTCCAGCAACTTCTGTTTGTGTTTTTGAAGGGTTAAATGGCCAACTCCTGCTTCGAGAAAACCGAGCCACTGTCTTTGTACGTATCGTTAAAGGCCCTGATATGGAGGTGGTGGACAAAATCAGAAGTAGCATGATATCACGTTATAGTCCAAGAGGTTTATTTGAAATCACAAGCTTTCAGGGTGCTGCTCCTTCATCAGGCGAAGTTGTGTGACTTTGATTTTGTAATTAAAGGGGAGGCAAATAAATAAAACAAATAAAGGAAACAAAATGGAGCAGAAATTATAGCATGAAGTTGTGGATCTGAATATGAAATGTTGCAAATTGGCTACATGAAAGATGAGGTGCTGTTCTTCAAGCTTATATTGAGCTCTACAGTGTAAACAGAGAAAGGAACAGAAGATGCTGACAGCACAGGAGACAGCAGGAAAGCCCATGTGAAACTTTATTACTCTAGTTAATTTTAGATACTTTTTTGAGATGCTTGGGAAAGAAATCAATAAAGTGTGTGAGAAGGTGCTCACAATAGAACCCAAAGAAAATTGACAGTAAAGCCAACACACAGAATTTATGATATCCAAAGCCAGATGTCTTAAAATTCACAAGTTCAGCTTACTCACAGAATACTGTGCCAGATGTGTCATCATTTTTCTCGATATCCGCCCAGTCCTTTGCACATTCTTATATTTTTCCATTAACTGCACATAGCTTCGTTGGTCCTTCTCACAGAGGGAGGAGAACCGGGGATAGGGCACCCTGGGTTCAGGCAGTGGAAACGATATCTCCGAAGCTTTGGTGGGCTGATTGGCTGGAGTCGAGGGCTCAGGTTGGGTGTTCGGTTTGGGAGTCTGCTGCGTTTCTGGTGGGCTGGGAGACTTAGCACCTTCCTCTCTTTGCCTGGCAGGAACGTAGAAACAGAGGCCACATTCAGATTTGAATCAAAGTGAGCTGACAGTATAACACAAATCGGGGAGGAGGGGAGGGGTGTTGGGGTGCAAAGAGTCCATACTGACCATGTTCCCAAACTAAACTAGCCCCACCTACTGGCATTCAGCCCATATTCATCCAAACATTTCCTACTCATGTACTTATCCAAATGTCTTTTAAATGCTCTAACTCTACCCACACCCACCACTGCCTCTGGAAGTTCATTCCACACACAAACCACTGTGTAAAAAAAAAACTGCCCCAATATCTTTTTTAAATCTTTTGCCTCTCACCTTAAAAATATGCCCCCAAGACTTGATTTCCCCCATCCTAGGGAATAGGCACCTGCCATTCATCTTATCTATACCTCTCATGATTTTATAAACCTCTACAAGGTCACCCCTCAACCTCTGACACTCCAGTGGAGAGAGTCCTGGTCTATAGGTCTGTGGGCGGTACGGTGGTTCAGTGGTTAGCACTGCTGCCTCACAGCGCCAGGGACCTGGGTTCGATTCCACCCTCGGGTGACTGTCTGCAGGGAGTTTGCACATTCTCCCCATGTCTGCGTGGGTTTCCTCTGGGTTCTTTCCACAGTCCAAAGATGTGCAGTTAGGTGCACTGGCCATGCTAAATTATTCCAGAGTGTCCAGGGATGTGCCGGCTAGGTGGATTCGGTATGGGAAATGCAGGGATACTAGGATAGGAGGGTGGGTCTGATGGCATGTCTTTTGGAGGGTTGGTGTGAACTCGATGGGGTGAACAGCCTGCTTCCACACCGTAGGGATTCCACGATTCTATCCACCCTCTCCTTTGAACACAAACCATCCATTTCCAGCAACATCCCGGTAAATCTCCTCTGAACCTTCTCCAGCTTAATAATATCCTTCCTATAACAGGGCAACTAGAACTGGACACAGTACTCCAGAAGAGGCCTCACCATTATGTTGTACAACCTCAACATGACATCGCAACTCCTATACTAAAAGGATTCAGAAATGATGCTAAACACTTTCTTAACCATCCTGTCCGACATATAGCTGTAATCCTCCCAAACATTTAGTCCGTTTAATCTCTATTCCATTGATCACAAAGGTGGCTGCCATACAAATCCAACTTGGCTTCTCACTGTTGCTGAAGTTACAGTAAATCCAGAGGCAGGGTCCACAATAAGGCTTTCCCAAAGTGGGGCTCATGAGATCTAGAGGCAGGTGTAGCTGATTTCCAACCTAGTGAACAGTAAGACAACTTCAAATCCTTTCACTTCAATTTTTGTACAGTGGACATAACCTCAAAGCCCAGCTCCTGCAGCAATAACAACAGATGGCTTTTTCTTTTCTAAAAAAAACCTCACCACTCTCTCTTTTCCGCATCCCCTCCTCTTTCAGTGCCACTCGCCAGAACCCCTTACAGTTCTCGAGGAGGGAGCGAACACAACTTTTCAGCCTTGAAATGGGGTCAGGGTAGGAGCCCCTGGTCTACAGGATGGAGACTGTAGTCATTGGAACAGGGTCAGTCAGGTGGACCTCAAAATGGGAGATCCCTGATTGGATCAGGTTACCAGCCCCAGGCAGGAGGCTCGTTCTATGAGGTCCACCGGGCAGACCTTGTTACAATCACTGTAGACACACACACACTGCTTTGTGTTGTAGTCAAACAGTGGAAAAAAGTCTGACTCTGCAAGGCCTCAGTACGTTGTAAAGAGAATATAAAAATGCACTCAAACTATTCGTGGCAGTCAGAGTTAGGCTGTGAGCAACAGAGGGGCAAACTCTGCCTCCACTGAAACAGAAGTCAATAATCTATTCAAAAAATCCCCCCAAAGAACTGCATATTGTGGAGATCTGAAACAAAACAGAAATTGCTGGATAAACAAGGCAGGTCTGGCAGCCATCTGCGTGCAGAAAGAAACAGAGCCACTGCACAATCGGATGCTTCAAGTTAACGAGAAGGTAACAGAGACAACAAGGTGCAGGGCTGGATGAACACAGCAGGCCAAGCAGCATCATAGGAGCAGATACTGCTTTCCTCACAAGCAACAACCTCCCTCAGAAATGTGCTGTACAGACACATGCAGTGTCCGAGAGAGCTCTGACCCAGAGGTCGAGTGCACATAAAGATCGCACAAACACAGAAACAATACGAAGATGTGCTGTCTTAGTGAAGTTGGTTAAGGGATAAATATTTGCCAGGACCCCATAAGGAACTCCCTCACCCCACATCATCATAATGCGATTATTCAGGCACAACTTATATAAATGATTTAGATGTGAACATAGGAGGTATGGTTAGTAAGTTTGCAGATGACACCAAAATTGGCGGTGTAGTGGACAGCGAAGAAGGTTACCTCAGAGTACCACGGGATCTTGATCAGATGGGCCAAGGAGTGGCAGATGGAGTTTAATTTACATAAATGTGAGGTTCTACATTTTGGAAATGCAAATCGGGGCAAGACTTATACACTTAATGTGTATAACGTAACACAAGGTCCTGAGAAGTGTTGTTGAATAAAGAGACATTGGAGTGCAGGTTTATAGTTCCTTGAAAGTGGAGTTGCAGGTAGATAGGAAAGGATAGTGATGAAGGCATTTGGTATGCTTTCCTTTATTGATAGTGCGAGTGTAGGAATTGGGAGGTTATGTTGCAGCCATACAGGAATACTGCGTGCAATTCTGGACTCCCTGCTAATAGGAAGGATGTTGTGAAACTTGAAAAGGTTCAGAAAAGATTTATGAGGATGTTGCCAGGGTTGGAGAGTTTCAGCTATAGGGAGAGGCTGAATAGGCTGGGGCTATTTTCGTCAGAGTGTTAGAGACTGAGGGGCGACCTTAGAGAGGTTTATAAAATCATGAGGGGCATGGATACAGTACATAGGAAAGGTCTTTACCCCAGGGTAGGGGACCCCAAAATTAGAGGGCACAGGTTTAAGGTGCGAGGGGAAAGATTTAAAAGGGATCTAAGGGGCAATTTTTTCATGTCGAGAGTGGTGCGCGTGTGGAATGAGCTGCCAGAAGAAGTGGTGGAGCCTGATACAATTACAACATTTAAAAGGCATCTAGATGGGTATATGGATAGGAAGGGTTAGAGGGATATGGGCCAAATGCTAACAGATAGAGCTAGATTTATATCTGACATCTAGTCAGCACTGACAAGTTGGACCAACTCTATAACTAAGAGGAAAGATAGGGTCTCAATTTAGTGTCCTGGCTAAAAGAAAATAGTTTTTTGTTAAGCACTTGTTCCTACATCTTCCCCCAACGCAATCCCACCTCCCCCCCAGGTCCCGGTGACGGGCTTCTGACCCAGAGGTGGAGACGTTATCCAACAGTTGTCAAGACCTCACACCAGCAAAAGTGTAGCACTTAGACCATAAGAAATAAGAGTAGGCCATTCAGCCCCTCGAGCCTGCGCCACCATTCAATGAGATCATGGCTGATCCAACATTCCTCACGTCTGCTTTCCTGCCCTTTCTCCTTGATTCCCTGATTGATCAAGAATCTATTGATCTCATCCTTAAACACACAAGCACCCTGCCCCCACAGCTCTCTTCCAAAGGCTCTCAACCCACTGAGAGAAGAAATTCGTCCTCATCTCAGTCTTAAACTGGTGCCTCTTTATTCTGACACTGTGTCCTCTGGTCTTAGACTCCCCAAGGAGGGAAAAAATCCTCTCAATATTTACCTTGTCAAATCCCTTAAGATTTCTATATTTTTCAATGAGATTATTTGTCATTCTTCTAAACTCCAGTGAGTAGTGTCCCAACCTGTTTAACAAAAACAGAAGTTGCTGGAAAAGCTCAGCAGATCTGGCAGCATCTTTGAAGGGAAATCACAGTTAACATTTCAGGTCCAGTGACCCTTCCTCAGAACTGATGTTGTTGATTGTTTGGAAATTGTTGACTTACATGCAGAAGATAGGGTGTGGGGTGTGGGGTGGGGGGAGTAAACAATAGGTGGGGATAGAGCCCAAAGGGAAAGAAGAACAGTTGGACAGACAAGGGATTGGATAACAATCTGGCTAGGAGAGTGAATAGCTGTTAATGGAGGATACCCAAACAGTCCCTCCATACAGAAACCATTCTAACAAACTGTCTCTGAACTGCCCCCAGTGGAATGCTTAATTACAGGAATCAAAACTGCTTTACAGTGCTCCAGATGTGGTCTCACCAGCACCTTGTAGAGTTGTAGTAAGACTTCTCTACTCTTATACTCTTCGGTTAGCATCAGCCTGTATTTTTTGTTCACGTCTCTGGATTGGCCTGAAATCTACAAATGATTCAGTACCGAGAGTGTTACCGCTGTCCAATGGCTGACAGCCCTGCTTCTAATAATTATATTTAGTCTCAGTCAACATGAAGCAGTTAAACAGGCCTAAGGCAATAGAATAAACGCAAACAGTGGACTCAACCTACACACCTGCCTTTCAGACAGAGCCAGGAACAGGCAGAGAAATTATTTAAACATTCAGCTATGATCTGTCAAGCATCCCCACTCACAGTGTTCACATTAAAGGTTGAGAGCTTGGTTTTTCAATGGCTGGCACAGTGTTACAATCAGAAATATCGAAGCCAGGAGCAAGAAAACGCTATTCAGCCTATCAAGCCCATTCTACCATTCAACATGATCATGGTTGATCCTCGATCTCAACTCCTATTCTCTCCGCATACTCCTTGATACCTCTGGCCTCTAGAAATCTATTTCTTAGAGTCATACAGCACGGAAACAAAGCTTCGTCCAACTAGTCCACGCTGACCATGTTCCCAAACTAAACTAGCCCCCCTGCCCACGTTTGGTCCATATCCTTCCAAACTTTCTTATTCATGTGCTTATCTAAAATGTCTTTTAAATGTTGTAACGTCACCTGCATCAACTCTCTGTAAAAAAAAAAGTTGCCCCTCGTGTCCTTTTTAAAGATTTCTCTTCTCAGTTTAAAAATATGCCCCCTAGTTTTGAACTCTCTTACATTAGGGAAAAGACCTTATCCATGCCCCTCATGATTTTATAAACCTCTATAACCCCTCAGCCTCCTACACTCTGGTGAAAAAGGTCCCAGCCTTTCCAATCTGCACACAGTACTCCAGAAGAGGTCACATCAACGTCCTGTATAACCTTAACATGACATCTCAATGCCTACACTGAAAGGTCTGAGCAATGAAGGCACGTGTGCTAAACGTTTTCTTAACCACACTGTCTACTTGTGATTTCAAACAATTGTGTACCTGAACCCCTAGGTCTCTCTGTTTCACAACACTACCCAAGGACCTAACATTAATTGTATAAGTCCAGCCTTTCTTAATTTTACCAAAATGCAATTCCTCATATTTATCCAAATTAAAATCCATCTGCCACTCCTCAGCCCATTGACCCAATTGATCAAGATCAGTCACAGCCATTTGTGGTAGGAAATTCCACTGTTTTAACCTGCTCTGAGTAAAGAAATTTCTCCTTACCCCATGGCTAACCCACACAGTCTCAACATCCCTGGACACTATCGGGCATGTTGCAAGGTCAATCCACCTAACCTGCACATCTTTGGACTGTCAGAGGAAACTGGAGCACCCGGAGGAAATGCACACAGGCACGGGGAGAGCGTACAAACTCCACACAGACAGTTGCCTGAGGCTGGAATTGAACCTGGGTCTGGGGTGCTGTGAGCAGCGCTAACCACTGTGCCACCCATTATTTGATGATTCAAATCATAATCCCTACTAACCTACCATCCACTCCCGCTCACTAGCCACTGCTGCTGTTCTCATCTCAACTAGGTGCAAAAAGTGATTAGTGAGACAAACATTCAGTTCAGCTTATCAATGATCATGGTTAATCTATGACCAACCTGCCATTGCTGTTAACACCTCTGTTAAAAATAACTATCAATCACAGAGTTAAAACCAACAACTGATCTAGCATCAATTGTCATTTGCATAAGACAATTCCAACTCAAAACATATTTTTGAGATTAGAATTGCACTTTTACATCATTCTTTAAAGATTTTGCTCTGAAGTTTAGACAATGCCCCTCTTCCTACCAGCAGGAATGCAGTAGGGAGACCGCAATATCTTTAAAAAATTGACCAAATCGCACCTGAATCTTTTACATTCCAGTGAACACAACCCGAGTTTGTGGACTCTTTCTTCGTAACTTAACTCTGTGTACATTTACTAGAATGATGCCCAATGTCCTCCCTCAGCAAATATCTCCACCCTTCGCTGTGATGCCCAAGAACTGCTCAGCGTTCTCCAAGTGGCACCTATCCAGGATTTTGTAAGTTTTATCGATAGATTCCTAACCAATCTGTTCAGAGGCGTTATTACACAATTCTAGAGCAGGTGGGACGTGAACTCAGACCTGTTTGTCCAGAGGAAAGGGCACTACTACAGTGCCTCAAGAGCCCTTGTAACCAGGGTTTTGTACAGCTGAATACTGGGTTGTATTCCATTCGTCTAGTTATTAAATCTGGCTTCTCATTTGTGTTTTGGACCATTTTGTGCATCTGTTCATAATATTTTAATCATTTTATGCCTGGATCCTCAAGATTTCCACTGATTCTAGTTTGTCACCATTCAGAAAGTGTCCTGTTCTACCCAGTTTAGATCCAAAATCAACAACCTCAGATTTACCACATGTGTCTCCATTCAGTTTACAGTTGAAAGGAGATCTAAATGGCAGTATGTGTTGCAGAAGAATGATTACACAGGGAAGGCAGTGTTAAATGTTCCAGCACCTGCTAACTAAAGCCCATAACTCACTGAGAGTTGGGGCCATGGAGTAGCGAGTGTACATCTCATGCGTGAAGAATTCCTGGAGTCCATTCCTGGCCTCCACATCCCTGCGTAAACAAACAAAATGGAAAAGGTGGAGTCAGTGGCAGCAGAAAGACCCAGAATTTATAGAAATTTCTCAACATCCACGACCAGTGTGTTACTATTTAATCCACATTCGCCTCCGCCACCACCACTACCACCACCACTTCCTCATTTCCCACTCTCAGTCACCCATCCCTACTCTGTCACTACTCCCCAAAATCCCCACCCACACCCACCCATTTCCCACTCCCCTGATTCCTTCCCCCACTCCCTCTCCCCTCCTCCATCCCATTCCCTTTCCCCAATTCCACCATGCCCTGCCCCAACCCTCCCCCAAACCCCTCTCCCTCCCCTATCCTTCCTCCCACCCCTCTCCCCCACACCCCTTCCTTC